GTGCACAGACGGATGTCACAGGCGGTGATCAGGTCCACACCTGCAGCAGAGCAGGAACACGCAGCAGCACACGCACCGTGAAGAGAAACGTTATATAGAAGAAAGTACCATAAAATACCAGCTTAAAGTGGACCTATCATGCTATATTTGAATAATGTATTGTAGGGCCATACCTATATAAGGTATATTTATACGTTTTATTTTTCAAAATACCAAACAGATCATGCATTTTATCCATTCCTCATTTTGCTCAATTTAACACTGTCTTTCATGCTCGGATTCTGTGAGAACAGCACCATCTGGTGGCCTGAAATATGTACTACAGCGTCTCCAGCGCTTTCGAACGGCAATGTCCGTGGCTTTCTCCTCCTGATCGGTGGAGTTGGCCCAATAGCCGTAGCGCCACCGTCCTGACGTCAGAAAAGTGTTCAAATCTGGATCAGTCTGTATCAGATCCGTTGCAGCCCCTTTTTAAGAGATTTGGGTATGGAGGAAAAGAGAGAGGGTTGTGTTTTCTGACTCTCGTACCTCATTCACACAAACGGTGTTTCGGGGCCGGTTCGGAGCTGGAGCTTGAAAAGCACCGGGTTTTCCTCTTCACACCGCAGCGGAGCAGCCTCTTAGCTCTGGAATCCGGTTCATTTCGAGCACCAAAAAATTGTCCGGCCAGAGCAAAAGCACCACATACGTCACGCTTACGTCGAGGCGGGGGCAGGGGCAGGGGCGGGATCAACTCCTGAACAACAACAAAAAGCCGGTGTGTTATCCAGTTTGTACACAACGATGGAGAAACTTAACAAGCAGCAGTGATCCACTGAAGAGAGAAGCTACCTACTGGGAATCTGGTCTTTTGAAGAGGTACAGAGGAAGCTGGAGCACAATCGGCCATTGTTGTTGTTGTCAGCTGTGAGGGGTTTCCGCGCGGTTTGGCTTTATGAAGCAGGCAAGCAAACGGTTACATCATGACGCAAACGATGACGCAATGACGCAGCACCAGTCGGACTTTGGGCTGTGTGAAAAGCGCCGGAGCTAAACCGAAGAACCGGTTCTGAACCTGAAAAGCTCTAGCACGGAGCTTGAACCGGAGTTGCGTTGGTGTGAATGAGGTATTGGTGAGTTCCCTGACACACCGGGGACACATATTCATGTACAAAGGACGTACAAAGGTGCATTTTGCATGATAGGTCCCCTTTAAGTAAAAATATAAAGCATAAACTATACAAGAACATTGGAGACAAAAAGGTAAAGAGACAGGTGTGATTCATATCAGAAGAGTCATTGTGTATGTACAGTACAACAGATGTATGGGATATTTATAAAATAATGTTTATTAATGTTACTTGCTGTTTGTGTTAATACAGAGATGTTATATCAGTAACTATAGAATATCCGATTTAATATATAGAAGAAGGTGAAAGGTAGTAAAAAATATAGCACAATATATAGTATAGTTAAACAATGTAACATAAAATACTATCAAAATCATAAAGGTAGGCTTTGTGTGTTCATTTTATGGTAAAGTGGAGTTGCAATTGGTCTATGATCTGAATTTATAGCTGCACAATAATAATAGTGATGTAATGATGATGATGATGATGATGATGACGACCTACCTCCCCCCACACACGCTCCGTGAATGGCCACCACAACAGGCTTTGGACACTACAATGAGAAAAAAAGGAAAAACAGACTGAAACACTTGAATGCTGCAATTGACCTGTCAGCAGTATGGTTCTTAGTGTGAGGAACAGAACCTCTCTGCTGACCTTCTCTATGACGCTGAACGTCTCTTGGTACTTGGTGATTATTTTTTTCATGTTCCACGACCTTCTGGCCATGTCGTCCCCCTCTGGTTGGAGGACGTCTCCGGCCATGTCCATCAGGTCGATTCCTGGACGGTCACACAGCACAGAATAAATATGGCTTACTGTGAAGACAGTGGCCGTTTCTCAATCGCGAGTACACATGCTGCAGAACAACTATTTCAAGTATACTACGTCATAGAGTGGGGCAGAATGCTGGGCATTTAACATGCATTTAAACAGTCCTTTGGCGCCACTCAATGACTTAGTATTCTTGAAATAGTTGCTCTGCAGCAGTTTTACTTGCGATTGAGAAACGGCCAGTATCATAAAGAACATCTGTCCCCCTGACACCCACCAGCTGTGAAGATCTTCCCAGCCCCTGAGACGAGCACCACCCTGCAGTCCGGGTCCGCTGCGATCTCATTGAAGCAGTCCACCATCTCACTGGAGGAGAAAGCCAAAGGCTCCATCAGTTATTAAGCGCTACAGAAACACTGTTGTGTGCATGCTTCAATAACGACTTCCAGTGGTCTACCTTTCAATATTAGAAAAATATTAAATCACATAGAGAATTAAAACTGCGGTCACAGACGTGCACGCAGTTGTGGGCGGGCCTTCGCATCCGAGCGCCTGTCGGGGAGGGTCGCCGGTCGTCACGGCGTCAAGCAGACGCGCGCGAGTCCTCCGAAATGAGCCATCCGTAAATTTCTCAAATGTTCGCGTCCCGGACTCCTCGGTCCTCCGGCAGCGACCCGGAAACGGATGTGGGCGCGCCGCCTCGAAGGAAAACAAATTTCTGTAAAGGCTCGTCGAGGATTGATTATCGCGGAGGCTGTCTGGAGGAGCAGTAACCGTGGCGTGTGGTGCAGTGGGTTGTGCAGACTTTCTGCCCTTTACCGTTTGTTTACTCAATAAACGCATCTCCTCTGGATATTAGGCTATGTATGTTTTTAATACAACTGCTTTAATTGTGAGCCGACATTTACAGTGAGAACTACGGAGCCCCTTAGGGGACTTGGAGAAGTAAAAAAAAAAAAAGATTTGAACAAAGAAAATAAATAAATGTTGCAAAACCTTTGCGAGATCTCGCAATACTTTTGCGAGATCTTGCAAAACCCCTT